TACATTTTTTTAGTTTATATTCATGTAAAAAATAATGATTTTGTACCAGAAGAACTTTAGGAAACTTACCTAACCTTATTATAACAAACGCAATTTAATTTAGCTTACTCCACTTAAATATATTTTATATAAGTTTACAATAATTTGATAATAAACAAACACATTGATATATATTTTTTTCGTTAGATTCAGAATGATTTTATGTGAAATTATTGCATACACAAATTTTCACTTGCCTTATTCGGCAGGAAGAGTGTTGCCATTTAAACCAAAATCACAAGTTTTACCCATTCGGCACAACATTATAATATATATATTTTTTTATTTTTTTATTAACACACTGGCCGATTCCCACCAAGGCAGGGTGGCCCGAAAAAGAAAAACTTTCACCATCATTCACTCCATCACTGTCTTGCCAGAAGGGTGCTTTACACTACAGTTTTTAAACTGCAACATTAACACCCCTCCTTCAGAGTGCAGGCACTGTACTTCCCATCTCCAGGACTCAAGTCCGGCCTGCTGGTTTCCTTGAATCCCTTCATAAATGTTACTTTTCTCACACTCCAACAGCACGTCAAGTATTAAAAACCATTTGTCTCCATTCACTCCTATCAAACACGCTCACGCATGCCTGCTGGAAGTCCAAGCCCCTCGCACACAAAACCTCCTTTACCCCCTCCCTCCAACCTTTCCTAGGCCGACATCTGCCCCGCCTTCCACTACAGACTGATACAATCATGAAGTCATTCTGTTTCGCTCCATTCTCTCTACATGTCCGAACCACCTCAACAACCCTTCCTCAGCTCTCTGGACAACAGTTTTGGCAATCCCCGGACCTCCTCCTAACTTCCAAACTACGAATTCTCTGCATTATATTCACACCACACATTGCCCTCAGACATGACTTCTGCACTGCCTCCAGCCTTCTCCTCGCTGCAACATTCGTCACCCATGCTTCACACCCATATAAGAGCATTGGCAAAACTATACTCTCATACATTCCCCTCTTTGCCTCCAAGGACAAAGTTCTTTGTCTCCACAGACTCCTAAATGCACCGCTCACCCTTTTCCCCTCATCAATTTTATAATTCACCTCATCTTTCATAGACCCAACCGCTGACACATCCACTCCCAAGTATGTGAATACGTTCACCTCCTCCATACTCTCTCCCTCCAATCTGATATCCAATCTTTCATCACCTAATCTTTTTGTTATCCTCATAACCTTACTCTTTCCTGTATTCACTTTTAGTTTTCTTCTTTTGCACACCCTACCAAATTCATCCACCAACCTGTGCAACTTCTCTTCAGAATCTCCCAAGACCACAGTGTCATCAGCAAAGAGCAACTGTGACAACTCCCACTTTATGTGTGATTCTTTATCTTTTAACTCCACGCCTCTTGCCAAGACCCTCGCATTTACTTCTCTTTCAACCCCATCTATAAATATATGAAACAACCACGGTTACATCACACATCCTTGTCTAAGGCCTACTTTTAATGGGAAATAATCTCCCTCTTTCCTACATACTCTAACTTGAGCCTCACTGTCCTCGTAAAAACTCTTCACTGCTTTCAGTAACCTACCTCTTATACCATACACCTGCAACATCTGCCACATTGCCCCCATATCCACCATGTCATACGCCTTTTCCAAATCCATAAATGCCACAAAAACCTCTTTAGCCTTATCTAAATACTGTTCACTTATATGTTTCACTGTAAACACCTGGTCCACACACCCTCTACCCTTCCCAAAGCCTCCTTGTTCATTTGCTATCCTATTCTCCGTCTTACTCTTAATTCTTTCAATAATAACTCTACCATACACTTTACCAGGTGTACTCAACAGACTTATCCCCCTATAATTTTTGCACTCTCTTTTGTCCTCTTTGTCTTTATACAAAGGAACTATGCATGCTCTCTGTCAATCCCTAGGTACCTTACCCTCTCCAAAACTATATCTCCACCTGCTTTTAACATTTCTATCTTTATCCCATCAATCCCAGCTGCCTTACACCCTTTCATTTTACCTACTGCCTCACGAACTTCCCCCAAACTCACAACTGGCTCTTCCTCACTCCTACAAGATGTTATTCCTCCTTGGCCTATACACGAAATCACAGCTTCCCTATTTTCATCAACATTTAACAATTCATCAAATTATTCCCTCCATCTTCCCAATACCTCTAACTCTCCATTTAATAACTCTCCTCTCCTATTTTTAACTGACAAATGCATTTGTTCTCTAGGCTTCCTTAACTTGTTAATCTCACTCCAAAACTTTTTCTTATTTTCAACAAAATTTGTTGATAACATCTTTTTTTTTTTTTTTTTTTTTTTACACAGGGTTTGACAAGGTTAAGGATCCCTTGCTTTATTGACAGCTATTTACAGGTTAAGGATTCCTAACTTTATTGGCAAGCTAAGAGCTGTTACCTACATCAGCTCATTTGAAAGCATTTTTATTGTTATGAGACATACAAGTAGGGAACAGGATGAAGTTGGAGCCATCTGTGGGCACTCACTCTCTCATTTGCTCTCTTTTTACATTGCTTCACCACTCTCTTAACCTCTCTCTTTTTCTCCATTGCATCACTTCTACTCTGTAAAAACTTCTCATATGTTAACTTTGTCTCCCTTACTACTCTCTTTACATCATCATTCCACCAATTGCTCCTCTTCCCTCCCGCACCCACTTTCCTGTAACCACAAACTTCTGCTGAACACTCTAACACTACATTTTTAAACCTACCCCATACTTCTTCGACCCCATTGCCTATGCTCTCATTAGCCCATCTATCCTCCAATAGCTGTTTATATCTTACTCTAACTGCCTCCTATTTTAGTTTATAAACCTTCACCTCTCTCTTCCCTGATGCTTCTGGGTTTACAAGGTCCCATGTACTTAGTGTCCTCTCTCATATATCGGTCAAACAGGTAAATTTCTGGAAACCAGGATTGCCCAGCATAAATACTCAGTCAGGACAGGGCACGTAATCACCCACCGGGGTGGGATGCTGCCCAGATTAAAGTACCAAACAGCTCTGTCCTGGAAAGAAACATAATTGAATCTTCCCTCTTGAAACATGAAAGGAATATAGTATACAACTCAAATTATGGGTTATACAAGAACAATGCCATACAAAATCACAGGATTGTTCATTATGTCAGGTGGGTTGATGAATTGGTGACGCCCGACCAGTGTCTACGTACCAAAACTTCACACCACGTCAGTATTGATGGTTATATAACTCCTGTAGCTATTAATGTACCATACAGCGACAAGCACACAAGATAACGTGATAACGTAAGATAGATTAAAGGGTATTACTAGAATTTAGATTATAGAAATATTATCGGATAGGCATAGAAGTCCCCATGTATGGCATATTAACAGACACTAAGAAAATAGTAGACAATATTAAGGAAGAGATACTTCTCAGTACATCGGTAGAACTTTCGACCACCCCAGAGCAGGACATTTAAACGGACAAAGAACACATTGTAATTCTTTCTTTCATTATTTGAAAAGGTCACACAGAATAATAGCTGTCCACGTCTACAGTATCTAACGAGAAACTTATTTTCTCAAACCACATGACCTGTTATAAACGATTACAAAAAGCTTAAGGCTGACTTTTTATATCTTCTAATTTCATACTTGACATCTCAGAAACCCTCCTACCCCATATGGGTAGTAGGGGAATGATGGTAGGGTGGGGTTGGCACCCACTACTAACTCAGTCTAAGGGTAACCGTGGCCGGTGACACCTACGCTACTCTGAGACCTCTCTCCCTGCTTTGGTTGCTCCCTTGCAACATTGTACAGCTCATGATGATTCACTGAGAAGTGTGAAAGTACTTGAGCTAAAGATTTCCACCCCCCGTGGCTTGTCCTGCATAATTAAGATCGCCAGTCTGCGATTTTTTGCATATATATATATATATATATATATATATATATATATATATATATATATATATATATATATATAATATATTATATATATATATTATATATATATATATATATATACATGTATATATATATATATATATATATATATATATATATATATATATATATATATATATATATATATATATATATATCAAAGAAAGTAAATAATCCAACTCTTCCTCTAAAAATATGCAAGAAAATTATCATTAATTAAAAACCTCAGGAGAATGAAAGTTCAAGCAAAATATCTTTTATTCAGTCACATATGTATCATTATAGTGGCTTCAATCTATATATTTTTAACAGCCTTGTGTCCGTCCCTCACCACTATACGTGAATTAAAAACACGTATCGAGAATTGATACAACTAATGAATGTCTTTTTAGGTAGTAGTAGTTATTGGTCTCTCTTATTCGGCTTGCAGTCCAGCAGGAAATCTGATAATGGAGGTAAATCTTATGAAGCCTTATTTATAATGAATATTAGACGTTGAAGCTCAGGCATCTAAATAACCTTCGGTTTCAGGTACTCACTGTAATATGAGATTTTCTGAATACTGAGAACAAGTTAGTATTCTAAGTATAAAAATTACATTTTCACGTGTGCTTCTTAATTATTTTTTATATAATATTTCCTTTGTTTTATAATAACAACAACAACAACAACACCAATAATAATAATAATAATAATAATAATAATAATAATAATAATAATATTAATATTAATATTAATATTAATAATAATACTAATTACTAATTCTTATTTTATATTACCATTATTATAATTGGATTAAGTGGTGTAATGCCAACAATAGTGGAAAAAAATAAAAGCTTGCGGAAACAGCCTTTGTAACTCTATTATTATTATTATTATTATTATTATTATTATTATTATTATTATTATTATTATTATTATAGCAGAAAGGGCTGAAATGGGTGAAATTTTAAGACCTTCTTTTCAAATCTGACTGGAAATACGATAAAAGGGGTCGGGAAGGATGATACCGCAACACATTAAATATGATCTGTCTCCACAGTGGCTCCAACTGGCATCACCATTCTTGGGTGGGAGGACGGGGCGGTGGTGGAGATGGTAGCTGGTGCTTCTCTGGTGCTCGAGTGCCTGGTGACCGATGCTCGACCTGCAGCCATCATCATGTGGCACAAGGATGGTCTTCTTCTGGACCAAGGTGTGTGTGTGTACTGACCTATTTATACTAACCTATTTGTGATTGCAGGGGTCGATTTGTAGCCCCACCTTTTCGCTGGTCGCTGCTAGGAGCACTCTCTACCTGCTTCAAGAGTTTTATCGTACCTCTTCATGAAGGTGTGTGTGTGTGTGTTTGTGTGTGTGTGTGTGTGTGTGTGTGTGTGTGTGTGTGTGTGACTGTATGTGTAAGATCCTATTTGTGATTACTGTTTGTAGCAACTGGAGCAGAATTAAACTCGTAATTTTTTTTTTAAATTACCCCTAACTTATTTTAAATTACCAATAATTATAGCAATTACTGCTTCCTCTTTCAGCGCATTCAGTTTGTCACCCATACTAAGAAAAAAAAAATTCTAATATCCCTTCCGTTAAATTTTTTTCTTCAGTTTACAACTGTGTCTTCTTATTATTCCAGTTGCTGGTAGTATGAAATCTTCAATTTACAACTGTGTCTTCTTGTTATTCCAGTTGCTGGTGGTACGAAATCTTCAATTTACAACTGTGTCTTCTTGTTATTCCAGTTGCTGGTAGTACGAAATCTTCAATTTACAACTGTGTCTTCTTGTTATTCCAGTTGCTGGTAGTACGAAATCTTCAATTTACAACTGTGTCTTCTTGTTATTCCAGTTGCTGGTAGTACGAAATCTTCAATTTACAACTGTGTCTTCTTGTTATTCCAGTTGCTGGTGGTACGAAATCTTCAATTTACAACTGTGTCTTCTTGTTATTCCAGTTGCTGGTAGTACGAAATCTTCAATTTACAACTGTGTCTTCTTGTTATTCCAGTTGCTGGTGGTACGAAATCTTCAATTTACAACTGTGTCTTCTTCTTATTCCAGTTGCTGGTGGTACGAAATCTTCAATTTACAACTGTGTCTTCTTCTTATTCCAGTTGCTGGTGGTACGAAATCTTCAATTTACAACTGTGTCTTCTTGTTATTCCAGTTGCTGGTAGTACGAAATCTTCAATTTACAACTGTGTCTTCTTCTTATTCCAGTTGCTGGTGGTACGAAATCTTCAATTTACAACTGTGTCTTCTTCTTATTCCAGTTGCTGGTGGTACGAAATCTTCAATTTACAACTGTGTCTTCTTGTTATTCCAGTTGCTGGTAGTACGAAATCTTCAATTTACAACTGTGTCTTCTTGTTATTCCAGTTGCTGGTAGTACGAAATCTTCAATTTACAACTGTCTTCTTGTTATTCCAGTTGCTGGTAGTATGAAATCTTTTCATCTACTCATTAAGATTTTTTTTTATCTTAATGTGGTTATCATGTCTCTTCTTTTCCTCGTCTCAGCCAACGGGGAAATCATTTATAATTTTAGCCTGTCATCGTAAATCATCTTTTAAACTCAAATATCAGTTCTGTGGCGCATTCTTTTTTTTCAGATGCGGCACAACGCACCTACTGCACTTTCCAATTTTGTAACAGTGAAATTTATAAGCACCTTTCTTAGCGTATCACTATAAATATATGTGAAAGCAGTCATATAATTCACCAATGAAGCCTCGAGTTTCGCAAAATTTCATTTATATGATCTGGAGAATTTTTTTCTTGTTAGATCTGCTGCTTAAATTTTTTTGTCACAAAGACTATTAATAATATTACCTGATTTCGTATTCTCCCATTTCCTTTCCACTTACTGGAGGTTCCTTGACGCTGGTGAGGGCTCTTGATCTAGGGAATTGGATCTGTGCTCCGGTTCCCTGAATTGAGCCTGAATGCCTTACACCCCCCCCACGCGCTCCCCATGATTATAATAATAATAATAATAATAATAATAATAATAATAATAATAATAATAATAATAATAAACCCATTTCCTTTAGATCACATCTAGTTATATTAAATTTCATCGGTGATCTGTCCCTCCATTACCTCAGTTTACTCAGATCATCTTTTAAGGATTTATTGTACATTCCTTCTTGTAAATCACTCACATAAATAAAAAAAAATTGTTAGGGCAAGTACAGATCCTTGTGGCATGCCACCACGCACACATTTTACCTGTTATAAATGTTTGAATTTTTTTCTCTCAAATAATGTTGATCATCCAACGTAATAATATAGTATTATTTCTTCTGTAAAGTGCAGTTTCCATATTTGTCTTTCATGGAGAACTCTTTCGAATATTTTCATAGCATATTTTTATTCACTAAATGTTGAATCAACTTTTCGCCAAAACCTTTTTGCAATATTTTTTTTAACAAACTAGTTAACGAAACCAGCTTGTAGTTGAATATGTCTTAACTGTCTCCTTAAATTACTGGCACAATGTTTACTGCCTTTTATTTTTCTTCTGGTTTACCTTCTTGCAATGAAATCTTACAAAATTTCGCAAGTGGGTAGTGTAACTCCTCTACACATTCATTTAATAATCAAGGTGGTGAAACATTTGATTTGATTTTGATTTTTTATCAGCACCTAGTTGCATTTTTACTTCGTTTTCATTTATTTAATTATCTTACAATTCAACTGGCTGTCAGGTATTAAATTCCACATATTGAAAGTATTCTTTATTAACACGCTTTGAAACTTTCTATTTAATGCCTCACACACTTCCTTCTCTTTGTCAGTGATTTTTTTTTTACCATCATCGTCCAGCCATTGTATTTTGTCTTTAACGCTTAATTTACTTCTTACAAAAATAAAAGATATGGTTCTGCCTTGCTATTGTCTACCTATCTTTTTCATACTTTCTATCTTTCTCTTCACTGAACATTTGTAAATTCATTTCTGGCATCCATGAAACTGTGATAAGTTTTTTGATTGGCTGGCTTCCTATATTGCTTCCAAGCCTTTAATTTTTTTTTTAAATCTTCATCATTTTTAATTAAATCATTTTTGTACATTCATTGTACAGATTATTTATTTGGTCCTTTGATATAAGATGTTCTATTTAATTTATTTTATATATACTTTTAATACATTATAATTCTCTTCCCTATAATCTTGTCGTTCCTGCTCATAAATTTCTTTTCTTATCTCACATAATTTTCCCTACATATGCTGTCACTTCCTTTATATATTTATAGAGAAAAAACTCACATTATATTAAGGGAATTTATTAACTATTTATTTACAGTTCCTGCTTCTTTTCTTTCATTATAGCTAAAAATTTAAGTTACTAAAGTTTTCTCCTTATCACTATCATTCTTTATCAACTTTATAATACTGAATATTGTTCATAATCTTAAAGCTAAAAATATCTTTCCAAAAATACATTCATAATCACTGTCTTTGCAGAGGACCTCAGATACGACAGTTCAGATGTCCCTCCAAACTTCCAATATCTTAAACTCTTCCTTTAAAGTTCAGGCACTGTATTTCCCATTTCTAGGACTCAAGTTCGGCTAACCGGTTTCCCTAAATCCCTTAAAAAAATATTACCGTGCTCACACTCCAACAGCTCGCCAGGTCTTAAAATCCATTTGTCTTCATTCAGTCCTAACACGCTCATGCATGCTTGCTGGAAGTCCAAACCCCTCGCCCACAAGCTTTCTTTACCCCCTCCCTCCAACCTTTTCGGGGACAACCCCTACCCCGCCTCCCTTCCATAGTAGATTTACATACTTTCCACTTTGATCCACTCTCTCTATATGACCAAACCTCCTCAACAACCCCTCTTCAGCCCTCTGACTAAAACTTTTATTAACTTCACACCTTCTCCTAATTTCCACACTACGAATTCTCTGCATAATATTTACACCACACATTGCCCTTAGACACGACATTTCCACTGCCTCCAACCGCCTCCTCGCCGCAGCATTTACAATCCATGCTTCACACCCATATAAGAGTGTTGGTATCACTATACTCTCGTATATTTCCTTCTTTGTCTCCACAGATACCTCAACACACCACTCACCTTTTTTCCTTCGTCAGTTTTATGGTTTACTTCATTCTTCATGAACCCATCCTTCCATCATGTCTATACCTTTCCTAACATACCTATTCATAAAGCTGTGAATGATGTAGTGGATGAAGCATTTTCAACACTGACTGGTGATCTCCACCACCACAGGACTGGTGGAGGAGAGAGTGGAGGCGTCGTCACAGCCTCGACGCTGGAGCGTCAGGAGTCGCTTATCTGTGACGGCAGCGCCTGAAGACGACGGTAAACTGTACACCTGTGAGGCTGACCACCCCGCTCTTAGGAGGAGCTCCGACCCCCTGTTGGCGTCTATCACTCTCTCGGTCCTTCGTGAGTACTGCTACCTCCTGGCTTCCATTACTCTCTTCGTCCTCCGTGAGTACCTCTACCTCCTGGCTTCCATCATTCTCTCCGTCCTCCTTGAGTACCACTACCTCCTGGCTTCCATCACTATCTCTGTCCTCCATGAGTACGTCTACCTCTTGGCCTCCATCACTCTCCGTTCTCCGTGAGTACCTCTGCCTCATTTAAGGGAGAACCGTGACCTTATACTGACCTCTGTCACGTTTTCCTCCTTGAATACCTGTACTTTACTCTCAAGAGAGATTTAAAAGATCATCTTGACCCCCATCGCTGTTCTTCATGAGTACATCAGTACCTCCAGCTCATTCTTAAGGGAAGCTCTGGCCTCCTTACTGGCCTCAATTACCATCTCTGTTCTCCGTTACACCTTCCTCACTTTCACAGGTCTAACCCGCTCCTTCATCGGTCAGTACCTCTCATACTCTTTTACTGATAATTCAGATATCAATTTATCTCTTGCTTCGTCTCCTGTACCTCTTACCTTCCTGACGTATGTAAGTGGTCACGCTGGCGCCATTCGTCAGGAAGAGGAAACAGTGGCTTACTCCTTGGAAGGAGGATCGAGCCTACACGGTTATTTTCCTTCTTTATGTCTCTATGAATGAAATAATAATATTGTGAGACCCTCTTTGTGAGCCCAGCTAACCTTCACTCTGCTTAAAAGAGATCCGTCCTCAAGATTGTCTCCACTCGTCTAATATTATCCCTAATTTTTAAAGGGGTGGGCGGGTAAGCCAGTGGAAGGCCTTGATCAGATACCTGAAAGCTACAGCTGCGGGTCATCATATGAATAAGATCCGCGTCAAGAAATACTTGTCCTGTTTCCTGACAAATCATACCTACTTTACGTAACCAATCCTAATCCAACTTAAGATTCTCTCTTACCCTCTCTTTATCTTCTCGGAGTACTTTTACTCCTGTAGAAGGTGAGATTTTTCTCTGGTGAATTTTTTTTCTTCAGGAGATTAGAAGCTCTCCTTCCCTTCCTAGGATCACTCCTGATTACGTTCCTTTCCTCAGGCGCAGTTTCGTTCCTACAGGTTAACAGTAATACTTACCAGTAATTAATGGTCCTTCATTCAACTGTGTAATATCACTTTACCTTCAGCATGAGTGACCTTATCCTTTGCGTGTTTTAAATGCTCCTATATGTGGGTGAGTGTATGTGCATGTGGGCGTGTGTACCTGATTGTTGATGTTTGTACGTTCATGTAGGAGTATCTTATTACCTTTTGACCCCTCGAGGGAGGTTCCTTGACGCTAGTGAGGGGCTCTTGATGTAGGGAATTGAATCTGTGCTCCGGTTCCCTGAAATGAGTCTGAATGCCTTCCATCCCCCTCCCCCACATGCGCTGTATAATCTTATGGATTTAGCGCTCCCCATAATAATAATAATAATGATAATAATAATAATAATAACAACAACAATAATAATAATAATAATAATAATAATAATAATAATAATAATAATAATAATAATAATAACAATAATTTGAGATTGAAGGAATTTCCTCTATAGCTCATGATCGGACCTCTTAAATTTCGACTGACTGTTGTGATATAGACTGAGCACGTGTGTTCTTAAAACTCCGCATGATGGTGTACAATACTGACGTTCCCAAAAACAACACACCGATGAATGAGAGACTCTTGTATAACATTTGGGTATCTTTATTGTGGAAACGTTATGCCAGTTAGTGTTTTTTTTCAGTCCAGTACAGAGAAGAACGGTGGAAGATGAGAAGTTTGAGGTAATCAGTCCCTTAGCCTAGAGGTGATGAGTTCATTTTATTAATCCTGATAAAAGTGCACTATATGCGCGTAGAAGGGACTTAAATACAGCAAACATGTGAAGTGAAGCAGCTGGGGGCGGCGTCACCGGTGGAAAATTCAATTGGTGGAAGCATATCATGTGGTGAAAATTCCCCAGTAAAGGGGGTATCTCTCAGCCCTCTCAGCGCCCCCCTCAGCTTTCTGAGAGATTTAGCCCTCTCAGAAGGGGCTAGTGGACTCTTCCTTCCTCACAAATAGCTTTATTAAACCCACATGTACCATAGCGTCACGAGGCACGTCTTCCTCTCCTTGCTAGTGGTCCTGATGAACTACAAAACGATCTTAAAGGAGACTAATTATTCTTCTCCTTAGCAGGAAAACTAAGGGAAAACGTGCAGCCCACTTTATCTACAAGTTGGGACTATTAGGAATTCTAGTCTATATCTAGATAACAAGAAACCTACTGTCTTATATTGAATACTGTTGCAATGTGTAGCAAGGAAGAGATATAAAACTAAGTTCAGCATATTCTTTGTGCGGACGATGAGCTGGAGGGTGATGAGGGCGGCAGGCCTTAGAGTGCTTCAAGGACGTACGAGTGACATGTGTGTCATGAGGGCATTGCTTCCTTATCGTTAAAAGACAAAAGAACAGTAGTGACCAGAGCGTTCTTCATTCTTGTTCATTCTGACAATCTCAGGAAACTTGGAAAGTTATACTACTTTCCTCATACGAGTCAGGAAATTCGCGGCAGAACTAATCACGTAGTGTTTATTGCGTCTCCGTGTTCTCCCTGCTGTGGATAATACCACGAAACTATGTACAAATGATGGTACTGAATGGTAAAGTGCAACCGGTACTGCGAGTCATTGCAACGAACATTCTCGACTTATTGGCGAACATAGTGCAACATTCCCCGAGATTCTCAAGCCTTCAGTGAAGTCACCGTTATCGGCCTTAATGGCGCTGTCAACGCCAAAAGCTCACGTTACACGAGGAAGGTAAGGCTTAGTCTCACTTGTATCGCCATAAAGAACTGCAATCCTTGGGCAGACACAAGGTGATTAGGGCTGTCCTATTTAAGGTCGTAATTAGGGGATTTACGCCCAAACCAAGTGAGTACCACTACGCATTTCAGATGATAGTGAAATGCTGGAGATACGCTCCTTTGGGGCAAATTGGTTTCTAACCCACTTGTTAATCAACAGCTACAGTGGGACCTGGAACGGCACCCCGAAGGGATGGCCAGGAAGAGGCTGCTGGACATCGTACTGTTAACAGATAAGTACGGGTTGCTATATGTTTCATGCAGGAAAGTGTACATATCTAACCAGTTCTCCACATCGTACATCTTGGCCAGGCAAGCGGAAAATAAATACAAAAAAGATACCCAATTGTTGTACAAATGTTTCATTTATCAGCTCATCGATTTTCTAAACCATTTATATAACAATACCGATGTTTCGGCAGTTAAGGCACTCAAGTGTTGCACATGTATCTTATTCTTCAACTAGTTAATATTGTATACCGTTACTAACATAATAACAAAAAAGGCACAATACCGTGACTGGAACGATACACAAATAACCCGCACATAGAAGAGAGGAGCTATGACGACGTCATCGTAAGCTCCTCTCTTCTACGTGCGGGTTATTTGTGTAACTAACATAATACTTATTAATCACGGCAACACCATGGTATCTTGGTATAGAGAAGTTAGTGAATACATGTTACCTTGCTCACACTCTAACAGCATGTCAAGTCATAAAAACGACTTACATCCACTTGCTCCTATCTAACACACTCACAACTGCTGAATGACAAAGCCCCTCGCAAACAAAACTTCTTTTATTCCCTCCTCTCAACTTTTCATAGGCATTCCCTACCCCACCTTCCTTCCACTACAGATTTATATACTCTAAGTCATCCTAATTTGTTCCATCCACTATAAATATCCAAACAACCACAATAACCCCTCCTCAGCACTCTGAATAATACTTTAGTAACACTGCATCTCCTAATATCCAAACTACGGATCTCTGCATAACATTCACAATAAACTTTACCCTAAGACACATCTTCACTGCCTCCTGGCTGCAACATTCACTACACTCTCATGCATTTCCTTTTTTGCCTCAGTGGATAATATTTTTTTGTCTTCACAGATGCCTCGATGGACCACTCGCCTTTTCTTCCTCTCATCAGTTCTGTTGTTCACTTCGTCTTTCATAGACCTGTCCGCCGATAAGGTTACTCCGAAATACTTCAACACATTCACTTCTTCGATACTCCCTCCCTCAAATCTGATATCCAATCTTTCATTACCTAATTCTTTTTTGTTATCTTTACCATCTTACTCTTTCCGATTTTCACTTTTAATTTCCGTCTTTTACATACTTTCCCAAATTAATTGACCAACCTTAGCAATTTCTTTTCAGAATCTCACAAAAGCACAGTGTCATTAGCAAAAAGCAATTGAGACAACTCATACTTTACATTAGATTATATTTTAATTGCGCACCTCTTCCCGACACCCTAGCATTCATGTCTTTTACAGCTACATCTGCAAACATGCCCTATCCTGAGCCTATCTTCATAAAAACTCTTAACTGCTTTTAGTAACTTACCAGTGACAAGATGTTGCCACATTGCTTCCCCGTCCATTCTGTCATATACCTTTTCTTAATTCATAAACCCAACGAAAACTTCCTTAGCCTTATCTAAATATTGTTCATTTATATGTTTCATTATAAACACTTTGTTTGCACAATCCTTACCCTTCCTAAAGCCTCCTTGGTCATCTGCGATCCTGCTCTCTGTCTTACTCTTAATTCTTTAAATAGTAACTCTACCATACACTTTACCAGGCATACTGAAGAGGACTGACCCCTTACAATTCAAAAACTCATCTGCTCCCTTTTCCTTTAAACAAAGGAAATATGCATGCTCTCTGCAAGTCCTTAGGTACCTTCCCCTCTTTCATACATTTATTTAACAAAACTACAAACCACTCCAATACTATATCCCACATGCTTTTAACATTATTTTCTTGATTTTATCAATCCCAGCTGCTTAACCCCATTCCATTTTATTCACTGCCTCACGCACCTTCCGCACACTCACATCTGGCTCTTTCTTACTCCTAAAAGATGTTATACCTCCCTGGCCAGTGAATGAAAACACTGCTTCCGTTTCTTCATCAAAATTTAACAGCTCTTCAAAATATCCCTTCCATCCTCCCAATACCTCCAAATCCCCGTTTAGTAACTGCCCTTTTCTGCTTTTATTTGTTAAACAACAATAATAATAATATAATAATATATTTATTTACTAAAAGTACTAGACCTGTATACCTTGTATACAGGTCTAGCTGACATCAATGACATACTATTATATAGAAAGCCGCTTGTTATGCAGAGCATTTCGGGTAAATTAGGTCAGTTTTGTCCCAGGATGCGACCCTCAACAGTCAACTAACTCCCAGGCACCCATTTTACTGATGAGTAAAAATAGACAACCGGTGTAAAGGAACATAACAAGTGGGAATCGAACCCAGACACTCGTCTTGTAAAGCGAGAGCTCTAGCCATCAGGCCACAGGGCACCTATTCGTTTGCTAGGCTTTCTCAACCTAATTTCGCAAAAAATTACTATGAACCTAACAAAAAAAATATATTTCATTGTTTGTTTATTGTTAAACTACTGTAAAAATTATATATACATCTACATACGCACACACACACACACACACACACACACACACACACACACACACACACACACACATATATATATATATATATATATATATATATATATATATATATATATATATATATATATATATATATAAATATATATATATATATATATATATATATATATAACATATATATATATATATATATATATATATATTATATATATATATATATATATATATATATATATATATATATATGCAATAAGATCACAGTAAACAGGTGATTTCAGAATATGTAAAACAACCACTGTGAAAGAATACAGAAATTCCAAGCGCTTTCGTGACTACTCACATTATCAAGGAACAATGTTTGTTCCTTGATATTGTGAGTAGTCACGAAAGCTCTTCGAATTTCTCTATTCTTTCACAGTGGTTGTTTTGCATATATATATATATATATATAT